AAATCACCCGAACAAATCAGCTGTAGCAGCTCACGTTCTGATAGACGCCCACACAAATGTAAACAAAGACTGTGTAAAACTGAAAAAATAAGTGAACGACAGCCGTCGGCTTGATGCGTTAGAAGCATTCTACATACAAGCGGACGATGAAAACAACCAATCTCTAAACCAAGACAGAGGCAACATTGAATCGCCACTGTTTGCCAAAGTCAAGTCAAGTGAAATGGTTCGGTATTGTTTTGTGTGTGAGTGAGTGTGTATGTATCCAGTGTTGTTTTTTCGTTTCGTTGGTCTCAACTCAATTCGTGTATTGGCGTGCAAATTTGTCATGTGAAGCTGAAAATCCCGTTGAACGAATTAGTCGTGATTGCTGATGATGGACAGCAACATTGTCCGAAATGCATTCAGGTTAGCATTAAATTTATTCCAATAATTTAATCCGACTCCAGGAGAGTCAATAAGGTGAAAAATTGACATTCATTGGAATGTATTTAAGTGAAAACTTTTGGCATTTCCAGATTTTGATTATCTAAATTATTTTTTGAGTTATCGTGTTAACAACGACAACGACGGCACACGAACGGAAAAGTGTCTTAAAAAGTGGTGTTCTACGCGTTTCATGAGTTTTTATGATGATCTAAGCTAATTTTGCGAAAAAAGTTTTCGGGACCAATTCCTGTACTTTCCCTTGACACGTTGTGTACGGAAAAGTAAAAGACAATTCAATATTAAATCACAATATACATATTATAATATATAATATAAAGTTGTCTTGATTATAACCCGTGTAAATGTACGAATGCTTACGTACAGAACTGCTAAGCTTAAGTGCATAAATGAAACTTAGCTTGACACAAACTAAAATCCATGTTTATGCATAACCTCTCTTTTGTTGCAAGCATTTCATTTCTACTCAGGCGTTGCATTGTGTATTCATTATGTATTTAAGCTAAGCAGTTCTGTACTTAAGCATTTGGCATTTGGAATTTCGTACATTTACAACGAGCTATAAAACAAAACAACTTTATACTAGATTTTTTATTGTTTTGAACTAAATTCTTACGTATATTGCGATTTAATATTGAATTGTCTTTTTTTGAATTGAATTATTTTTTTTCATTAAATAATTATATAATCTATTTTAATTCAACATGTTATATGTTTTCAATGTGTCAACACCGATCGGTATTGCAGTTCAGCTTGTCTTCAGTTTGTATTGAAAATATTGTCCATTATTGAACATATTCATGAAATGTCAAAATATTTACAATGACAATTCGCAGAGAATATGGTCAATTTCAACGATTTTTCTCGATATTGCTCCATTAATTATTATTAATTATTCATTAAATATGACCTTTTGCTTAGATTTCAACTTAATTTTTTCAATAGAAGTCTACTTATAAACAACTACAAAATTTCCGAAGTTTTAACTGAAGTGACCGATTTTTCACTAGAAAACTGCCTTTATACAAGAAAATTCACAAACATAACCAAAAGTGCGGACAACGGTACGGAAAAGTTCGGGATTACGAATGTAATTCTGTTTATTTGTTAATGCGATTGGGGTATGATTTGTCAATATTTTATGTTTTAAATTTTTGGTTTCGTTCGCTGCGTACCGATGGGATGGAATTTGTACGGCTGGTTGAATTCTTGAATTGATCGGCCAAGTGGCCGATGTGCAAACTTGCACATTTGAGGCAATTGTGCTAAATAAATAAATAAATAAATGAAAATTCCATAAATTTACTGCAACTTTTGGGCGAAGTCTTCATTTTCCGCAGGTAATGCAAAAACACGAATTTTTTTAGTTAAAGTCCCGACTTTAACGAAAAATCTCCCAGAAAAATGCTAAAATTAATGAAACCATTGAGTATTTTGGGGCCACTGATCATTATTTGGTCCCCCAATTTTCATTCCATCCGCGCATACCAATTATATGCACGTAGAAAAAAGGTGAAAAGTTAAAGTCGCGACTTAAAGTTAAAGTCTGAGCACTTGGAATGGGCAATTGTGATTGTCCACTACTTTATCAAGTTATTTTATTTAAAAGTCATCGAAAATTAGAACAAACTCGATATCAAATATAGTTCCAAGTCACAGAACCTACAAAGACTATTTCAACAGGAGGTCCAGTACAATCAGCACGGCCGACGCCCACTTGAAATGACGTGACGGCATTATAGTATCCAAAAAAATAAAGCAGCAAAAGGTTAATTTCCCAGAACTTCATTTCTAGTTTCAGGCTGTTATGCGTAAGAATAAATATCCTGAAAAATTGTAATTTTTATGTTATTATTTTTTTTCATTTTCAAAATAAAGAATCATATAAAATGTTTTTTCGATACTCACTTAAACCAGCAGCAAATAAGCACAATTGGAGCACCTATATTAGACTAATTCAAGTCCATCCAAAAAATATGACCACAATACGTCAGCTTGAATCAATCAAGCGGTGTTCACATTCCTGCGCCCAAGAAATGGTGCAAAAAATGGAACAAAACATTAACGAAGTATACAAAAAAGACATACAGCAATAACAGATAAACAATGAATGAAAATAAACACGTTATCTAGAAGTGTAACCATAAAAATGCAATTATTCGGATTATCGTGAACACGCAAATATTTTTTTCAATATTTCATTGTTTTTGTTTTCAATTTTCAAGTGTTGGTTTTCACAATCATAATATGTTGATTATACTGGATATAGAGAACTATATCTGTGATATTCATCATTGATAATCTAATAGAAAATATATTATCCATAAAAATACATGAATTTATTCATTTGTTCAACATAAGTCCATTTAAAGTTGTTTGAATTAAGCGCATATTAATGAGCTCTAAGTTTTCTAAATACATGAATATCATATGGTGATATACTGAACACAGCAGTAATTTGACTAAAAATATTGACAATTATACATGCGCAGGGGTAACCAAAATTTTCTTCAGAGCAGCCAAAATATCAAATCAGGGACAAATCTGGAGATGAGAGACACGACGTAAATAAGACTTTGAACTAATACATGAAAATACTACTCATTTGTCACTTATACAGGGTGATTCAGAACGACGTGCAAATCTCTCTACCACAGATTCCTTGGCCCATGAGGAGTAAAAAAGTGTATGGGCACTTTTCCCTCACCAGTAAACGTATGAGTGTTTCAGAAAAAATTTCACAAAATTCCACCTGGATTCGATAGTTGGGCTCAAATGATGATGATTGGTAGAAATATAACTTCCCCCAATTCACAGGGCGGATCCCCCCAAAGGACGAAAAATCAGCGATTTTCGAAAATCTTAGTTCTAAACGGCTGAGAGTTTTGCTACACTCTCTTCGGCAAAGTCAACGTGTGCTTCTCTGCCATAAGAACCAATGTATTTGGCGTGACAGTGAATAGCGGTGGCGCCTAAATAGAATCTGCGGCAACTTTAGGAACTATCAATACTTCTTGTTGTTGCGAAATTCGTGACAACAACAAAAAGTATTGATAGTTCTTAAAAATGCCACAAATTGCTAATACATCTTATTTAGGCGCCACCGCTATCTTGCGCCGGCCAAAAGCATAGGTTGGGCAAAGTTGTAGATCTTGACGAGATAAGAAACATTGCGCAACATGTAACCCAAAATGGCCCAATGTGCGTTGTGTGTGAAACCGGTAGCCAGTGACAAAAGCATTTCATGCTATGGCTTATGTGGCAATTCATTTCATTTCGCCTTCTAATCTATTAAGGCTAGTCTCTAGACGATGCCACCAGTATGTATTTTAGTAACTTGCGGAGTTACAAGCCGTGAACACAAAAAGGGTCGACTGGCCAATTTCCCGACAAATGGAAGAGCTCGAGTGTGTCACCCATTTTCAAAAAGTGGGCGAGATCGAAAATTGAAAACTATCGTTGCATTGCTAAGCTCCAGACTGTGGCGAAGTTCTTTGAGCATTTGTCGAACGTCAAACTTCTGCGACGCTATGTTAACTCCGTATGCTCCCATATAAAAAAAATACCGACGCGACCCCTGGTCCTAGCAAGTGAAATATTTGACAATCACACTCTCGAATTCACCCAAGTTTGAAATCTTGTTTACCATGTATATACACATCCGTTGGATGTTGAACAATTTTGAACTACTATTTGATTTTATTTATAGAACAATTTTGTCAATCTATGCAAGCAACACATAAAACTCGTTTTATTCCATTGAATTTTTTTGAAAATGTAATCCAAAAATAAAACAAATGAAAACAAACGAATATTCATTGTTCGGAATCTCACAAAGCCGTTTTTTTTTAAATCAAAAAGCGTCGAAAAGCGTATTCAACTTCATTCCAATCAATTTTCTCATTTTAAAATTTCAAATAAAATTTTTTACGTATTTTTGCGTATTTTTGTCAACACAAGAAAAGAGTGACTAAAAAAAGTTCCATCGAGTTGTAATTTCATTTGTTGACATTTCATATTCCGGTCATTGGATATACTGTTATCAACTGTTTTGAATCGTTTTGAACGGTTTTGAATGGTTGTTTTTTCACACGAACATAAAAACGTGCTTGACTTCACTGAATCCTTTGATATATTGTCAAAATTAAAAGAGAAAATTATTTCATGGCTCAGAATCGAACAGCATTTCACTATTTACATCAATGTGTCATCATTGATCATTTATCATTTGTTGACGTTCCACGTTTCTGTCGTTTCATATTGGAGCGAATTCACGTTGGGCGAATTGAATTAGTTATATCAACTGTCATTATGAAATGTTTGTTTATATTTTGCACGATTTTGCAACGATCGACTTACACTCACAATTGATCAGCCGATGAAATATATTCGGTTTGGATATTTCGGGATATTTTGGCGAACAAGCATTTGCACACAGAAGGTTTCATTGTTTGTGTTGTGTGGTAGCCAAAGAAGCGTGTTACTTGTTGAATACTCGATATTTTTGCTCGACAAATGTGTGATAAATACACACGATTTTACTCAATGCCCAAATTTGTTAGTCTAATTATTGTGGTGAAAAAGATGCTATTTATTT